CCAGTATACCTATGAACCGAATGGATCCTTCTATTGGAACCGAGCAACATCATCTTGGAAGCTATGAGCTTCTCCACACCTTAAAATTTGAACCAACACAAAAAAAATACCCAGCAAATTCTAGTGAAACCACTAAACAAAAACCAAGAAACTTGAACAACTCCAGAAAAAGAGGGCCAAAAGAGAATTGGACGAAGTGCACATTTACCATGGCTTCAAGAACTTCAAAGTGCATGTCCATATCAGGGGGCCTATCAGCGAAGTAAAGCTGCTGACGAACCAGTAACAACCCCTGTAGCAGCACTCCTCCCAGCCTCAATTTCCAGCAGATACATTAGTTCATCCTTCTCCTAATCTAATTTGTTTTCTCGGATTAGACAACAAATTAGTTTAGAAGAATAAGATAAACAAAGAAACGAAAAGAAAAATAGAATAGCAACTACCTGCGAGCTGTAGGACGAATCAATGACGCTAACAATGGGAGACGTGGAAACTGAATTCACATGCGCGGAACTGTGATAGTTCCTGCTATCAGGTACCGAACTGTCAATCACCACTACCCAAACCATAGATCTCGAGCTCCTCGTCCTCATCATCATGCACATCGAGCGCAATTTTGTTGAGGTTTTGCTTGAACGTTTCAATCGAACTCCCATCACTCCAGAAATAGGGGAAGAAACGCGGCCACATCTTCGGTCGCCAGCCAAGTCAAAATCGACCATATTCGTCAACTGCCCATTCCAGATTGACGATATGTAGTGGAGAAGGAGAATGGAAATTTAGAATGAAGGAATTGTTTTTTTTTCTTTTTATGAAAGAAGGATTATGTTTCCGTCGATGGGAAGCGTTGAAAGGAGGCCGTAAAATATTTTGGCGGAAACGAAATACAGTTTTCGGAGAAAAAAAAAAGAGAAATTTAACTTTTTAAAAATTTATCTCCCGCAATTATTCTAAAATGCAGCGGGAATACTAGAGGGAATTATTCTCAAATGCATTCAATTTCGTTTCCATTGGTATGGTATGTAAATTATATCTAGTTCATGCTATTAAACAGTAGATAGTATCCTATGAATCTATAATATATAATTGCCTTTTAAATTATTATTTACACATTTGTCACAACTGTTTCTACAGATCGAGAAATCTGATGGTTGGAACCCCCGTGACTTCAAATCGTAGCCAAATAGTCTGATTCAAGTCATACTCATATTAACAACATTTTTATCACGTATTTAAGTTATATAGTAAATGGTATCCGGTCAATACTACATAAAAAAACATAATTTCTTCCAAGAAGAGTGCAGTTATACGGACGTCGAGTGGGGAGGTGCATGCGTAAATCCCTTCCAAGAGGAGTGAAACAAAAAGTGAGCTGACAAAGTGTTGGCAATGAAAAGTTAGGTAACAATTCAATATTAACAATTACTTTTCATCGATGCATTAAACAACATGATTTTGGTTAAAAAAAACTTGATGGACAATCTGTTCACCTATTACTATGATCACTTTTTAGAAGGTATGTATCAACAATTGCTTTGGTACGTTTATAGAACCATTGTGACTTGTGCTATTTGATTTAGTTAGTAGTTTGTATCAACACGAATACAAAATTTAACTTAAGAATACCTCGATCGAAATTGGACCTTTCATAGATTCTCTTGACTTTGTGATACTCGACATTAATAGGGATGAATCCCATAGAAACCTTTTATCTGTTAGAACCAATACATGGTTTGTCAAATGTAAATTACATATACATATAAGGAAATGTGTAAGATCACTCTAATGGATTTTCCAAATGGGAAGTAGTGAATAATTCAAGTGCACAAAACATAAAACTTGTGTGTCCATGCTAAAAGTTACATTTTACGGGGGCGAGTTTGTGTTATTCGTTCCAAAATGAACAACATTTGTCTCCTACATGGAAGAATCCTCTTATGAGCCAAGTAATAAAATCAAGTTAGGAATGAAAATCCATTATATACCATCTCAAGACCATAACTTGTTCATATTGTAATATGTCCATTTTACTTGTAACGTTATTATTTTAGTGTGATATGCTTTCTTCATCTAGCGGAAACAAGATACAGTAGAAATAAATTTCAAATATAGACTCCGGGCTAGTTATAAATACCTTTACTACTCCTGCTCACATAGCTATTTGTCAAACAAGATAGTTTATCTCATACTACAAACTTCTAGCAACACAATCACGATTCTTAGTTTAGTTACACTCACATGATTCTTGGTTTAGTTACATTCACCTATGAAGAAATGATAAACTCCTAGGGAATGCAGTCATATATTATACGTCATGTGTACCATAGCTCTTGTCATGAATATATAAAACACAAATAGATTAAGACTCCTTCCTACGTACCATAGTTACAAAACCAATCATGAACAAATGCATGTATGCCCTCCAAAAACCAAATAACTATCAGAATTAAATCATTCAACACTAATTACAAGAAAACAATCAAACATAATGGACGGATGAAGATGGTCGAGTACAAACCTTTTTAGTTTTAGGCTTTAATTACAAGTCATTAATGGATGTATGTATGATGTATGAATAAAGGTCTATATATTGCAAATTACAGTTGTTATCCAGCCGTGATGGTGGAAGTTCTAATAGATAGTGCATAGGTCTGTTGTTCGACATGCAGTAGCCACATGACTTCTTTTTGGTTTTTTTAGCCCGACCCTTTCTTTCCCTGTGTGATCAGCTCCGCCTACAGAAACGTCGTCGTTAGCCGGTCGCACTCGATTCAGCAGGGAACACAAAACATCGTCGTTTTGGCGTGCCTCTTCTTCTTCCCGAATCTCCCTGTACATTTTCGATTCTCAACGCCGGTCACGAGCGTATCAACACCGTCTCCTTCTCTGGTAACCCCACGTAACCATCCTAATCGCCGTCATCGCCACCGTAATCCCACTGCTATCTCCAGCGTTTTCTTTCTTCTCCAACAACCCCATACCATCCCAATCACCGACCTCCTCGTAATTCCACCACCATCTCTCTTCTCCAGCAACCCCATGTTCGTTAGGGATCCACATCCCCGCTAAATCTCCTTCCTCGCTGCAAGATCCTGAATAATCAACGGACCAATCATTTTGCCTCTCTAGTCAAGCAAGTGGAACCCCACCGCCGCCCCGATCGACTTCAACCCTAGGGATAAATCCTGACTAACTGAACCCCCTATCCGTCGGAGCTCGGATCCCGCAGCCGCATCAACCAATTCACAAGCATCCTCTCACTATAATTGATCGCAACAAGCCCAACTCATCGTGTGATCCAACCCTGGGAATTTCAAACTCAAAGCCCACTACAGGAAAATACACTTTTCATCACAGGAAATCCCGTGACCAAAGACTCATATCCCGTGACTAATTCCATTTGCCACGGGTACTTTCCCGTGGCAGGAAGGCCCGTGATCAAACGTCATTCGTCACAGGATATCCTGTGATTGAAAATGTTTCACAACGGGCAAATTCCCATGACAAGTAATCTCTTTTGTCACGACAAATCCCGTGACAAAGCAATAACCATGGGAATATTGCCATGGCCAAAACATTAAATAGCAATGGGATGCCCCGTGACTAAGTGTGTTTATTTATCACGGTATTAACTCTTTAGTCACAGGAGTATGGCCTTCAGAATGTTCCTTACAAACCACGGGGTTTCGCACAATGGTCACAGGAATCCTATGATTGTTATTCTCCTTTTTTTCGTTTTGACAAATTATTCTCCCATTATTCATATGCAATAACAAGTTTCATATTAATAATATGGTATTGTTATTACTAAAAGTCTCATCTGCCAATTCCATCGAACTAATCTTATGAAAATCAGTCGCTAAAATATAAATATATATATATAAATTCTTGTGAATTATATTCACAAATGTACATTGATCGATATTAACATACAATTAGGAAGTTTAGTTCTTGTAGTATTCTGATCATATAACATGATATAAAATGATCAACCATTCACAAAATATCAATGCTACTACAAAATAATTATGATAGTCTCCATCCCCTCGTCAAAATAAGATCACCACCGCACTCTATAAATGTGCACGAAGGGCTTTGTCTTCTTGTATTTTGCCCTTCTTGTGTCGTACGCCTAAATAATAAAAGATAAATTACAGTAGTGAGATTCATTAAATAACATGGAAAACATATATTGAAAGAAGCACAAGAATATATACTAGGGAAGCCTTCCATAAAAAAATACTAGGACTTAGTATCATCCTCCCATATAATAGAAATCTAAATACAAGCCTTAAATAATATATTCACACCCTTCCCAAATAAGTACCACTAGAGCCAATATTACTATCAAATTTATATTGTTTACTTAGGAATGAAACTAAATTGGACTCCATTAATTAGTGGTACTTGTCAATAGCTAAAGACAATGCTAACTTAATAAGAGAAGTGAATGAACGAAATGAAGTCCAAACTTGTGGTTCACAAGTTCTGAACCAAAGACAACAAAAGAGGCAGAGGACATCCCTGTTATGACACAACAGAAAATCCACAACTGAATTCTCCAAACCGCGAATACTAGCTCCTACCAAGAAATAATCAATATCCCAACTAGAAATTATAAAAACACAGTCCAAGCATGCTGAAAATTTAAAACAAAAAAACCAAGTTGCTTCATGGTGTTCTTTCCTCTTCATAGCACAAACTAAAACTTTGAGAAAAAACTTACAATAACAATTAGAGGATTACGGACCACCAAAATGCCACAAATAGCTGCAAATAGACAACATGAAATGAAGCACAAGAATCATCAGCAACATATATATACAAGAATCCTGCGACTAGTTTTTGTTTATCCTTTTTTCTTACCCTCCATTTTGTTTAGAGGAAGCTATCATAGATAAGAAATAGCAGCAACATATACATGTGAAACCAACAGAAAAGTACCAATTATTGCACAAACAAACAGCTCCAACACAAAAGCAAGTAGTAGTCACACGTACCTAATTTTGTCTATTTTTACTATTTTCAACCATTTGTTTCAACCTTTGCATTTCGGCTTTCATATCTGTTAATTCTCCAGCTTGGGAGGAAACTGTATCCATTAGATCAGTAACAGTTTGTTCAAGAGCATCATTTTGTTCATCTGAACGTCTCAGCTCATCTTCCAAAATTGCCTCCCTTGCATTGCTTGTGGAAGTTGGCACCTTCAGATCCCTAGGCTTCAAGCCCCCTCCAAAACATATAACATGGCCACGATTCTGCTCTCCGATACTTGCTTCTATCACTTCGAGTGAAGTGAATTCTGGATTAGCTTCTATCGTCTCGACCATTTTAGCCTATCCAAAAGGAAAACAATAGCACTCAGTTAAAATATGAAAATGAACTAAGTTAAAATGTAAAAGCTTTTAAGTAATTACATGTCTGGCATTTGCTGCCACATCCTTAATTATATCTCCTTCTTTATAAGTGTCAAACACTAGCTCTGCCACATAAAGAAACTTCAAACCGGACATAATTTTTAGCAAAGTCCAAATGGAAGAAGAAACTTTCAAGCACCAAATATAACATATGCATAGCAGACCAATAAACTTGGCTGGTTGTTAGACCTTATTCAAGCAACCAGCTGTAATTATTAGCTTAATTAACTATGAAAATAATCGCTAAGGTAATTACCAAGTCCAACCCAATTTGTCGAACCGGTTTCCTTCCACTGTGTTGATTCATTGTTTTCTTTGCTCTGTTTCTTCATTTCTCTTATTTATCTCCTGCTTAAGGATAAAATCAAGTGTTCAACAAAAAACTGATTTGCAAAGCAAGTAAGCAAAAATAAATAGGAGAAATCAGTAGAGTAGAATTATCTAACCAGAAATTCTTTAGAAAGAAACTTCTCCTTCACAACCCACTCCCAATCTTCTTTGTTGAGGAATTCCGGAACATCTCCGAGAATATCTTCCAAGTTGTCACGAACTTTCACATGTTTACAATTCATCTTAGATCTCCAAGTTCTCCACACTTCATTCATATGGTCGAAAACATCCTCCTTTGCAGATTCCATATCAGGATTTGTAAAAGATTCCTAATACAAAATTATAAGTACTTAGCTGCAAATTTCCTAGATTTGATAAGTAAGCTCATATTTCAGATTCAAGTAGTAGTTACGTACCTGAACTGCAGCCCACATATGTTCTAATTCTTCTCTACCTATCTCATCCCAATCCTTAATTCTAACTGGGCACATCTGTGAGTTCCGAATAATTGTGCCAAGGTAGCTTGACCAGACGGATCCATTAGGACCAGCACCACGTCTGTTTTTGAAGATGATTGGCAACTTTTGCCCAGGTTTCAAGTTAATAAGTTGTTTGCAAATTGTTCTGCCCCGTTTTTTCCTTTCTTTTGTCACTCCTAAAACAGTATAATTAGTAAAACATCCATAAGCACAAAATGAAGATGTAACACAACATGTACTATAAATTATATGCGCTAAAGGTATTAATGAAAACATAATGATGGTTATACATCCAACTGACTGTACAAGCAATGACTAGGGAGTAAAATCCATTCACATATTACTATGTCATAGCTCACCTTGATCAGTCTGCTGACTTTCAGTTGTATTTTCAGCCATGACCACTTCAGTTGTATTTATGCTGATTAGCATAAGTGGTCATAAACCTTTGCATTTAGTACAAAACAGTCACAAATCTTTAATTTGTAACCATTTGATAACAAAACTTTTTACTTAGAACAAAACGGTCACAAATTAAACAGTGTGACCATTTCATACCAGTTCAAACTTTTGTTACCGTGTCGTTGCAAATTATACTTTTGGTGACCGTTTTGTACAAATTAAGTTCAAAAGTTTGAACACTCAAACACCGTTACAATTCACTCTAGTTGTATGGTGGTTTTGTTAATGTAAGTGAATGATATGATCATCATAAAGGATGACAATGAGAGAATTCAATGGCTCACAAACGGGTTCCAGATTGCTTTTTAGTTGAAAAAACTCTGTCTACTTTCTTTCTTTCTTGGTATCGAAATTGAAAGGTCAACTTAGGGCATTCTTATTCGGCAAAGCAAATATGTCGATGAACACATGACCTGGCATCTTATATGTCGTTCAAGTGGTTAGTGTCATATACTTAACGAACAAACTACCCGAGACCTCAAAACATGACAAACATTTAATTTGTAACGATTCGGTAACAAACCTTTGCACTTAAAACAAAACGATCATAAATTAAATAGCGGTGACCATTTTATACAATTTCAAAGTTTTGTTACCGTATTGTTACAAATTAAAGGTTTGTGACCATTTTGTACTAAGTGCAAAGGTTTGTTACCATTTATGCTAATTACCCACTTCTTCCACTGGTGGTGGGCGTACAACACTAGTCCTAGATGTATTCATATCTCCATTGTTTCTTGTCACGCCAACACCGGGAAATACATGAACAACATAAAAATTTAGCAGCATATTACAAGTTATAAGTTTGTAACAAACGAGAGAATCCAATGCACAATAACACAAACAATGTTGCATGCTTTCAAATAGCTAAGAGCTTCATAGCTCACCTTGATTGACAGGCCGCTGATTTTCAGCTGTATTTTCAGTCATGACCACTTCTTCCACTGGTGGTGGACGTACAATACTGGTCCTAGATGTATTCGTACCTCCATTGTTTCTTGTCACACCATAAGCTGGAAATATATGAACAATATAAAAAGTTAGCAGCATATTACATGTTATAAATTTGTAACATACGAGACAATCCAATGCACAATAACACAAATTTTTACCCATCATAGGTTGCCTATGTGATGTATCACGAGAAGTTGAAGAAACATTTGGTGTAGTGCTTAATGAACCGAAGCTTGCTCGTTTTGTTATCCTCCTTATGGAACCAGGTGCAACAAAGTTTGTCACACCTTTCTTCTTTGTAGCACCCAATGATTTTTTAGCCTGGCCCTGTCATTTAATATTCTGTATACAAAGGAATAACATCATAAATAAAGATATACACAGTTTTACAGATTCTAGTTCAGACATGTTAATTCTTGTTCAATACAAACATAAAGATAGCAAGAATGTTAAACAATAAGTTACCAAGCACAACTAAGGTTTTAATTACAAACACAAAGAGAAAAGAGCATTGCTAATTCTATTCCGGGACTTCAGAATTTTGCTCATCATTGTTGTCTTCAGCTATTAAGGAAAATGTGTCTCTAGGTTGTACTTTCACAGCCACGTGCCAACCCTTGTTTGAATTGTCCTCGAGATAAAACACTTGAGACACTTGACTTGCGAGGACAAACGGTTCATTCATTTTCAACGTTCATTTGAGGTTTACGCTTACAAACCCATGTTCATCCATCTTCACACCTTTCGCCTTGTCATACACATCACACCAATCGCACCGAAACAAAGCTAATGTTCTTCCTCCAAGAAATTGCAATTCCACTACTTCTCTTAGCACTCCATAGTAATCTATAGCTTCAGCATCAACCCCATTATCACCAGGTACAACGACCCCACTACTTTGCGTCTTCAAATGTTTATCGTGTCATTTTGTGTGGAATCGGAATCCATTAATGACATATCCGGTATAACATTTCACACCAGCAAAAGGACCACGTGATAATGACAATAGATCTTCCATTTCGTTGCTTTTGTCATTATCATTGGAAAATCTTGCAACCTACAACAATTTAACAAGTTCTGACTTATTCAAGTTTCAAATGTCATTAAATTGAAAAAATTTAGAGTATAAAAAGTTGAATAATGTTACTTTTGCTTTGAACCATTTGATGAAGTTTTCACTTTCCTCCCGAGCTATTTGGGAAGAATGATGTTGAGGAAGTTCACCAAATTCCCTACAATGTGAAACCCAATTCCAATCCTAATTATCTACTTTGACGATAATTCGTTAAAAAGAGAATGATCAATAAAGAAGTATAATGCTCTTACTCAAAAAATGGTTCGACTTCTTCTGTGTTCTTCATAACATAAATGTGAGCTTCCCTCAAATCTTCTGGACTAAGATTACGAGGCTTTCCACCACCCACTGGTCTACCAGCCAGTGAAAACCCCAAAAAATCATCCATGTCATTACTGTCATCGTTCCGATCTCATTTATTGAACTTTGTTAAGATATCATTCAAGTATCTGGAGCAAAGAGTCATACATTCCGATGCAATATACCCCTCAGCAATGGAGCCCTCCGCATAAGTTCTATTTCGGATGTAAGACTTCAATTCATGTAGATATCGCTCGACAGGATACATCCATCTAAACCGGATCGGACCGGCAACCATAGCCTCATCAGCCAAATGAATGGGTAAGTGCACCATAATATCAAAAAATGATGGTGGAAATATCTTTTCAAGCTTGCACAAAGTGTACGGAATCTGAACTTTGATATGCTCCAACTCATCTAGCTTCAATGTTTTGGAACACAAGATCTTGAAGAACTAAGATAACTTTATAAGAGCATCACATATATCTTTTGTCAAAAGACCACGTATGGCAATGGGGATAAGATGTTGCAAAAGAACATGACAATCATCACTTTTCAGACCTGAAATCTTCAACTCGTTTACATTCACACAATGCGCTACATTTGAAGAAAATCCATCTGGAACTTTCAATCTTTTCAAGAAATGACATAACTTTTTCTTTGCATCTTGCTTCAATGTATAAGGTGCATCAGGTAAAGTTACCTTCCCACCATCTCGAATCGGATGTAATTCTGGCCGTAATTTCAAGACCTCCAAGTCGAGACGTGTTTTCATCGTATCTTTTGTCTTTCCTGCCAAACCCATGATTGTTCCTAACACACTGTCACAAATATTCTTTTCTATATGCATCACATCTAAGTTGTGACGTAATAGATGGGCTTTCCAATAAGGAAGATCAAAGAATATACTCTTCTTATTCCAATTATCTCCCCGAACATCATGGGAAACTTTTACTTTGGTCTTTGGAAATCTAGTTAATGAAATTCCCTCAAGATCCTGGAATTGTTCAAGTATTTCATCTCCCGTAAAATGTCTTGGGCGACCCCTCCTCTCTTTAGTACCATCAAATGAATCTTCATCATTCCTCCATCGATGACGATTAGGAAGCCAACGTCGATGAATCATGTAACAATGCTTGCACCCGTTAGATAACCACTTATACGCCGTGTCACTACTGCACACAGGACATGCCCTCTTTCCCTTAGTGCTCCAACCCGATAAATTGGCATAGGCAGGAAAGTCGTTGATTGTCCAGAACAAGGAAGCGCGCAATTGGAAATTTTGCCGTTTTGATGCATCAAATGTATTAACACCTTCTTCCCACAACGACTTCAAATCCTCTATTAAAGGCTGTAAATACACATCTATGGCATCTCCAGGACTATCAGGACCAGGAATCAGCATTGAGAGGATGAAATTAGAAGACTTCATGATCATCCAGGGAGGCAAATTGTAGGGGATTAACACCACTGGCCAAATACTATAGGGAGTTTTTGAATTGGTGAATGGTTGGAAACCATCGCTTGTAAGAGAAAGTATGACATTTCGAGGCTCGCTTGAAAAGAATTGGTAACTTTCATCAAACGATTTCCATGCTAGTGAATCAGCGGGATGCCTCATAACTCCATCCTTAGTCTTGTTCTCATGGTGCCAGGTCATCATAGAAGCAATCTTAGTGGACATGAACAATCTTTGAAGTCGTGGTTTTAATGGAAAGTACCGCAACACCTTGTTTGGGATCTTCTTCCCATTTGCTTTACACACGACTTCTCCACTATGTTGATCAACTTTCTATCGAGATGCTTTACAAACCTTGCAAGCATCGAGATTTGCATCATCCTTTCTAAATAACATGCAACTACTCTGACATGCATCGATTTTCACATATGAGAGTCCAAGATCCTTCATAAATTTTTTTTTGCTTCATAATAAGAATCCGGCAAAGCAGCATCTTCAGGCAAAAGGTCTTCCTTCATCATCTTGAGTAGCATATTGAATGACTCATTGCTCCATTTTTCTTGAGCCTTAATATGAAGGAGTTTTATAAGGGTTGATAACTTCGAGCTCTTGCAACCATCATACAATGGTTGTTCTGAGTCATTTAACAACCTATAAAAATTTCCTGCTTCATCATTTGGTCTCTCATTGTATGTATCCTCTACATCCATAGCAACTCCATTGTCGTCAAGATCAATATTAGGATACATATCTCTAAGCATATCGAGCATGTCACTTGAGTTGTCAGCTGCGACATCTTCATTCCCTGATCCCAACGACTCGCCCAACTTCTCTCCATGATGACACAAAAATGTATAATTTGAGGTGATTCCATGAATCAACAAATGTTTTCCTACAGCAACACGAGTTCCTTGCCTCTCGTTGAAACATTTAACACAAGGACATTTGATTTCCTCTCCCCCATTTTTTTCCGGAAAGCATAGTCTAGAAATTCCGCAACCTCATTCCTATATTCCACATTGAGTCTATCGCTCACAAGATTCATCCATTGTTTATTCGGTGCCATTTCTAACATAGAAAAGAAAAGTGTTACTGACATTCCACTAATAGGTTTTAACATTTTTATTCGAACTATAGTAATTCCAAGTTACTAACTTCAAATTGTTGAAGTTTCAAATTTTAGTGTAGTAATGGCTTCGAGTACCTACTATTTACACAACAACAGTCATAGCAAGAGAGCGATGAATTACACATAAAAATTTAATTTTTATAAATCTAAAATGAAATCGAGAAAGAACTAACCTGGCAAAGATGATGCTCAGAGGTAGTGTATAGCAATTGCAGAACCAACTAATTGTTCTCTACAAGCTCACCTTAAAAACAACAACAGTTAACATTAGATGCTGGCACAACCTAGTTAAACACGCCAGCAAGTAAACATGGCACGCACATACAACACTACAACATATATATATATATAGATAAAAAATGCATGACTAGTCAACAAGGATTGATCATTATCATGCTTGCTTTCGTTTCTTCCTGTAGACTGTTCTATACTCTTATATAGTTATTTTACTGTACCAAAATATAAAAAAAAATTTGTACAATTAAATAAAAAATAGAAGAATGAGACAAAAGCATAGGAGGAACAGTGAGTGTCTTAATCATAAACTGTCTCATAACTTGAAGAAACTGATAAGTCCCGAACCCCTTTTTTCCAACACCTGCACCCACAGTTTCTATCCTCTATCTCTTTGACGAAACTAACTTGAAGACCAAGGTATATATTTAACTAAACCAAATGGAACCTATCCACCTTGCCAAAATCCAAACAAAGCCGCACCATTATTAGTTAGCTCTCCATCTCTCTTTTTCTCTCGTCAATACCAGCAAACCTAAACTAAACCATATATTTTATTATATAGTTTGAAGAAGCTACCAACTAAAGAAACATGAAGAGGCAAAATGACTCGCTCCTAGTGCAATTGGAGTGGTATA